AAAAAAAAAAAAAAAAAAAAAAAAGAAACATGTTCACAAAAACTTGTACATGAGTGTTCATAGCAGTATTATTCATATTAGCCAAAAAGTGAAAACAAAGGATCCATCAATCAGTGAATGAATAATACTGTAATAATAACAAAATGTGTTATTATGCATACAACAGAATCATCCCTACCCCTAAAAAGTAATTAACTTATGATACATACCACACTGTGTATGAACCTTAAAAACTGTGTTAAGTGAAAAAGGACACAGAAGTCCACATAGCCTATGATTCCATTTGTATGAAATGTCCAAAACAAGAAAACCAATAGGGGCAGAAATATATTATTAGTTGCCAGTCATGGGGGCTTGGGGGACAATTGAGAGTGATGCCTAAAAGGTATAGGGGTTCTTGTTGAGGTGATAAAATGTTCTAAGATTAGACAGTGGGGATGGTTGCACAATTCTGTGAATCTGCTGTAAGACCACTGAGCAGTACTTCTTAAAATAGTGAGCTTTAAGTTATTGTGAAGTATTTCTACACAATAATTTTTTTAAGTTAGAAAAAGGGGAAAGTCTATCTTCTCCTTAACAGCTAGAATTTATAGAGTATATGCTATGTGTCATGTGTAAATGCTTTACTTCAGGAACTAATTTAATATACAAAATGATCCTATAAGGCATCATTTACAGATAAGGAAGTTGAGATTCCGGGAGAATTAAGTCTACTTGTTATTTGCTTTTTGGTTCTTTTTTTGGAGATGACAGAGCTGGGCAGTCTGAGTTTAAAACTCAGGTCACCCACTAACTTACCAGCAGTAGCTATCATTAAAAGTTGGGGTATTGGCGGGGTTTGGTGGCTCAGCCTGTCACCCCAGCACTTTGGGAGGCTGAGGCGAGTGGACCGCCTGAGCCCATGGGATTGAGACCAGCCCAGGCAACTTGGAAAGACCTCATCTCTACAATAAATCAAAAACTACCCAGACATGGTAGTGCATGCCTGTAGTTCTGGCTACTTGGAAGGCTGAGGTGGAAGGATCACCAGATCCCAGCAAGTCGATGCTGGGGTGGCCATGAGCATGCCACTGCACCCCAGCCTGGGTGACAGAGTGAAACTCCAACTCAAAAAAAAAGTTTGAGTACAAACTTCCAGATAATTTTCACTGGAATGCATGTGCCTGCACCTAGGAATATTTGTGCAGAAGATAAGAATGATACACAGGAACTATCCTAGGGATCAGAAACTACCCACAGGCCCACACTGGCCCACCACCTGTTTATATACAGCCCATTCAAAAAGAATGAAAAAAGTAGGTTTACATTTTTAAGTGACTGAAAAGGAAGAAGACCGGAAAAAAAAAAAAAAAAATGTGGTATTTCATGGCACTTGAGAAGTATGTAAAATTCAAGTCTCAGCGTCCACCCGTAATGTTTTACTGGACTACAATGACCCTCATGGGAGTTCTGTCTATGGCTGTTTCTGTACTACAAGAGCAGAGTTAGGTAGTGGTGACAGAGACTAAATGACACGGCATGGCTAAAGCACACAATATTTCTGTTCCTGAATAGAAAGAAAGAAATGTGTTGATCCCTGGATTATACTATACATGACGCTATAAAACTTTCTTTTGTTGCTAAACATTCTATCATGTTCAACTTTCTGGATTTCAAGATGTCCTTAGTTTCTTTAAATGACTACAAAGTAAAAATGCATTTCTTAAAATGACTTATTTGCAAGTTCACTAAATGTTTCAGATGTTGAAATCTTAACACCTAAGGTAATGGTAGGAAGAGGTGGAGCCCTCATGAATGGGGTCAGTGCCCTTATAAAAAAGATCCTGAGAGCTCATTTGTCTCTTTCCCATATCGAATTTACAGAGACAAGATGGCCATCTAGAAAGCAGATACCAAATCTTCCAGCACCTTGATCTTGGACTGCCCAGCCTCTAGAACTGTAAAAATAAATTTCTGTTGTTTCTAAGTCACTCAGTCTATGGTAGTTTATTACAGCAGCCTGAAATGACTACGAAACCATTCTTCTGCTAATGAAAATGGCATGTCTTTTACCAAATGGCTCTCAAGATTGTTGGATTAATGTATTTATCTTCTAATCAAATATGAAAATGACTTACATTGTACCAGTCCAGGTACCTGGACTTTGAGAAGCCTTATGGCTGTCTCACTTAAATGAAGGCTCTTCCCTTAGCTACTCATATGTGAATGGGCCCTCTCAAAATTTTTCAGAGAGAAAAAACCCTCTTTTCCCTACTTCCAAAAGGTAGGAAGATGACTTTTTATCTTGATAAGACTATTTCAAGCTGCAATTCTGAATGAGTCGGTGAATCGAGCTTACATCAAAGTTAAAAAGCACAAGAGTAGGCAAAAATGTGACAGGGAATTAGAAACACGGCAACAAGCAATCACACCCATTTCTCCTTTCACTGACAGAAATCACAGAGGAGGAACACATTCCTCGCCTGCTGAGAACTCTGATCCTCTGGTCACACAGGTACCCCATGGGGCAGAGAAGAGCCCCCTGAGACTGGTGGCCCATGAGGACAGCACCAAACTGAGAGTCTTATTAAAGATCTGGCCCCAGGCATCAAATGACTCGAGTCAATTAATTCTGTTAGAATGTGGCAAAGGATGAAGGGAAACCCTATGCTGGTTAGTCCCATCACACACTCCTCTTCTGGAGAGGCACAACCAAGTCCCCTGAGATTTTGTTTAGAAAAGCAGCTTGAACCTAGAATCTCAACAGGAAGCTGAAATGGGTGAGGCAGGGCAGCGGCCAGTGGAGGGCAGTTCGCCAAGATAAGAATGCCCACTCTCGGCAAAGTGAACACAAAGTGGTGCTGAGCATTGGTTACTCTGGGGAATTCTCTGTTGTGAACCAGCACCCCAGTAAAGATTCTCCACACTACAGAAAAACTAAGCAAGGAGAGTTTCTTTAAACTTCTGGCAAGTTCTAGTGCATTGCAAAGTGTTCTAGCAAAAGAAACTGGGACTGGAGATGGAGCGGGGTGACTGGAATGTGGACTCTGGGGGTACCTTCATTGACTTGAACCGTCTTTTCAGCCTCCGGTGCCTGAGATTTCACGAGAACTATTAATACTATGAATATGACTAGTCTGTTCCAAAAATCAAGCTCAGACATTTAACATCATGACCTTCGGAACTAGTGAATTCCAGAGTGGAGATGAATGCTCTGTGAAGAAATATTTTCCTTACTATTTTTTTCTAAATCTGTTGAATAGAAATTTTATAGTAGTCTTTTAGTCTTGTATTATTTAAACCAGAGAAAGAGAGAGAGAAGAAGAAAGAGGAGGAGGTGGAAGAAGGAGGAGGAAAGGGAAGAAAAGAAAAAAGGAAAAAAAAAAAAAAAAGCCAGAGAGAGAAGGAAAGAGAAAGGAAGAAAAATCCATTCTTATCATATGATCCCTAATTATTTTTCAAATGATTGGACTACAGGCCGTATTTCAGAAAGCCGTTTGTTTGATAAGCCATAAATAAGGCCTAACCAAAGGACAGAAAACTGAGGGTTGCTCACTATTTCTGCATCCTATTGGCTGTTACACACGGTAGCGCAAGACATGGGAGATTTAAAACATGTGCTCAACTTTTTGTAAACACAAGGTCCCGGCGATTCCAGTTCAAAGGAACAGATAACCAGGCTAAGAGATGCAGAACAGCTCTGAGACCCTTCTCTGGCTGAGCTTCAAGACCAAGTCATACCAGTTTCTGCAGGAACACAGGCATCGTTGAAAAACGGTTCTGTCAACACACTGGCGAAGTTTAACTTTACAGATAAGAAAGAAACGATTTAAAAAAAAAAAATCCACGATCATTAAATTGACTTTTTCATTTCGTAGGGAAAGGAGGAAATGCCAGCAGCCCACCTGTGTCAAAGCCCACACTTGGCATGATGTCCACTGTTCCGTGAAAGGCTCCGGCCCACGCTGAGGTAGCAGTGGTGACTGTAGTCGGGTCTGTCTTTGTGATGTCACACTGGGGAGCAGGAATCCTGGCCGCACGCACGGAGGGCATCAGCAGGGGCCCGTAGGACGGATCGAGGGCAGCGCCAGCAGGAGGGGGTGGTGGGTGGTGGTGGTGGTGGTGGCGGTGATGCATGTGGGCATGGGGGTGGTGGTGCCGCATGTAGACATCATGCACATGGCTGTAGGCCGGGCTCACCTGAGATGCCAAGGGATAGTGCCAGGACTCAGACGCGGGAGGGGGAGGGGCTGGGCCAGTCTGATGCAGGCTGTGGCCTGGCCAGGGACTGGGGTCGGCTGCAGAAAAGGTGCCAGGGGGTGTGGTGACCTGGAAGTCGGGGTGAACTCCCCCCAGACAGGGTGCAGGCGGGGGCTGGTAAGAGCTGGTCCAAAAGGAGGTTGGGAAACTACTCCGCTGGCTTGAGAGAGCTGAGCTGTCTGAGAAGACAGAAAATACAAAAAATGTTATTGACATGTGATTCCGTTCTGGGACAGACTTGCCTCTATTTGTTCAGTCACAGCCGACAAGCAGGAGAATTGGCCTGCACTCATATGCCGCCCCACACAGGGGTGAGCCGACACCAGGTTAATCTCGGGGTTCCCGTGCCAACTCCATGCACAGGATCCAAATGCTGAAGGAGTGTGTGCTGTGTGTGTGCATGTGCGTGTGTTCTGCTGAGCTTATGTGGTCAGTTCTCTGCTAAGGCTTGCAATTTGGGGGTTCAAAACCCCATTTCCCTCTGGGTGTCTTGTGGTCATTAGGTCCTGCCGGAGGTCATAACTACCACCCGCTTTTCTGGTAAAGAAAGTTTATGGCACAGATGAGTTTTATGCAGGTTGGAAATGACAATTTTTACCAATCTCTTTTAACTGCAAATACAACACTCATGCAAACTAAACAACTGAATGCTCAAAGTAACAAACAGAAGTAACAGTACTTAATTATGCTCACCAGTACTCATTTTCCATTAACAAGAGTGTATTCCAGGCTCGGGTTTTTTTTTTTTTTGTCTGTAAAGATTCGAATGTCTCCAGCTTGAGAATAATAATGGTTAACGTTTAATGACAGTGCCAAATGCCCAACACAAGGCCAGAGGCTTTTCATGGATAATCTCATAGGATTCTCATGTCGGCCCTATGGGGTTGATATTGTTATTATCACCATTTTAGGGATGAGAACATCAAGACAGGGAAGCCTAAGACTGGCACTGGCAAATATGAGACTGGGCTTTGAAGCCGGGGGGGTGGGGGGGCAAAGTGGCCAATGGCTGGTACTCTTCATAACATGCCACAAGAGGGCACAACCGTAACTAAACCTCAACATCCAGAAGTCGGTGAAGATTAACAGAAACCCTTGAGTGGAAGAGTTTCCAGTAGAGGTAATGAGTTTGAGGGGGAGTATGGGGGAGAAGAAATATCAAAGAATAGCACTAACAATAAATAAGAGAGAACTCTCCCAAAACTCTGCATCAATTCAATGTCTCTACTCAATCATCATATTTATAAGTGACCTAATAGGCACCAAACACAGAGGGGTCAGGGATAACCAGAGAGGCATTATTTTTAGTCACAATCTGCAGAGGGACAGACAAGTCAACAGACATGGGCAATGTGATGCGAGAGTTGTTCTCACAACAGGAAATACAGAGAGAGAGAGAGACAGAGAGAGAGAGAGAACCCAACCAGTCTAAGAATATGATGATGACATGGAAACTGAAAGGTTGTATAATTAAATACAGCTCTGTGACTTGGTGGGGGAGAAAGTTTTAGGTAAATGAACCAGCATGGGAGAAAAGGCTATATGGTACGTACGTACACACATACACATACACACACACACGCACACACACATTTGAGGGACAAAAAGAGCTCAGTAGGCAAAAGATAAAAAAAAAAAAAAAGGAAAAATGAGATGACAGAAGTAAGAAGAAGCCGGTGGTGTGACCTTACTGAACATGGGCTCTATCCTGAGGGATCTGGTGGGCTTTGAAGCGTTTTAATCCAGGAAGATCCACAGTCAGATCTCTGTGCAGGAAGATCAAGCCCGCCACATTTAGCCTGCTGCCTATAGTGCTGTGTAACTCAACAAGCACTGGTCTCAAAGACTAAGGAGCTCAGTTTTGATTCTAGCCCTTGCCCTATCTCAACCCGTTACCCCACATGAACTGTTGCTGTTCTTTCTATGGCTTACTTCCTTTCATCAAAAATGAGGTGTGCGAATTCAATGAATTCAAATTATCTTCAAGAGTAATCCTTCCATCATTCTGTGAAATGTCCTATAGACTATTTCTATATATACATAAAGATAAGATACATACTAATGCTCAGGGCATTAGTCATATACGTCTAAGTATTTTCATCCTGGGTTCCATGCAAGTCTTTCCATTGAATGAAAAATATCCTATGAAGTATTCTGAATTAGGAGTATTCAAAAATCTGACATATCTATGTTTTCACTACATACACTTCCGCTACATTGTTTTCTTGCCTTGGGAAAAGCTTTAAAGATCTGACATCGACCACCCCAGATATCATTCGGTTAACATGATCAGGTTCTCACTGTGGTGTTCCAGCATCTTCTCTCTCATGCTCTGAACACTGCCCGCCTTTCCACTCTCTCCGCCTCAGCCCTGCTCAGAGCTATCTTCTGCCCCATCTCTCCTGTGGACAAAGCTATTCACAGTCTCACAGTCAAGTCTCTACCTCACAGCATCTCCATGGACCTCAAAGACCTTGGAAAAAAATCCAGAAAACGATGTTCTTCAAAAGGCAAAAGATAGAAGTGCCTACTCTTCAAGTCTTCAGATATTCCCAGGAAACTTGGAACTGAATAACTTTATCTTATGACCATCACGATTCATCAAAAAGTAGCACTTAAAAGCAAACTTACTGGCATCTAGGTAAATAAGTTTTATTTAGCAAATAGCTCTTTTTGACATATGAAAAATTCTACTAATGACAAGAAGAAAAACTATACAAGCTGTGAGAAGAAAATTCAATTTGCCTTAGGTGATGACCATTTGTAGAATATTTCTGTCACACACACAATGAAAGCTGACAATGCTTAAAGCTTAAAACCCACACAAGGAGTTTAGAGCAGCTCCTGATATGACACAGCTCAGTTTTGCTACTCTGTTCTCACAACTCCCATCTCTGGGGCCAAACTCTTCATTCTACTCACTGCTTCCATCTCCTGAAGGTGCTGGAATCCTACCATGAAAACTGCCGAACCCCAATGCACAATGCCAGAGACAGTCTCCCTGTTAAAATCCCCTATTAAAATTCAAAAGTACAGAGAGTATACTCCAATTCTTGGGATGTTTTTATTTCTTCTATTTACATCTTATTGTATATCTTATTTTATAGATGCTTGTGTAATTTGAATACACATGCACAAATGTGAATGATGAACAAATTCCTTACCCAAAATACTATTTGGTCTATTTATGAAGTATTATACAATGATTAGTGAGCACAGCATTACTGAAAGCAGAAATCTATTTTTGAAAATGCATTCCGTCAAGAATGAACAAAGTTTTAAAATGCTCCAGGGAAAAGTAAAATTAAGAGCAACTTAATATTTTCCCAGTTGGTATGTCTCTTGAGATTAATATGAAGTTTGCAGAGATCTATGAAGTCCTTAAAAAAAAAAAGTTTGCAGTTTGCGAGTGAAACATTATTGAATAGAAAATAAATTTATGAAGAAGTTTGTACTTCAGAATCACTATTTGGTATCTTGCTTGTTTGAAGAAAAAAATACTGATACAAAGGAACAGATGATATGCTTTGTTTCATGCCTGAGAATCAGTGTGCTTATTTCATATGTATGTAAATTTTTTCATTACATGACTTTGCTTACAAGTACTTAATCACAGCCACATTTGCTGGATGAGAAACCATATGAAAAGCTGCAAGAGCTATTTCCATGCAATATTACTCTCTAGGTTAGTAGAGGCAATGGAACTGAATGCTATTAACACTCCATGGTGACTCTGGAGTCAATATTATTTGATATTTGGACAATGTTGACTAATACTTGGCAGATATTAACACTGACAGTCTAACACATACAAAAAGCCTAAATATAATTTGGTTCAATTTGCATTTGGGATTAAAAAACATTATGCACACACGTTTATTTCTGAACCAAAAAGAAAATGATGAAATTGATACATTGACCAAGACAACCCACCCAAGCCATACTCAATAATCTCACCGTCAGGTTTAGATCAAAATTGTCTCTTAGGATGAGACACTTTAACATTTGGAACATCAAGCATTTCTCTCATGTTCATAACAGCTGGAATATTTTTTTACATTGACTCTAAATATCTCTTAAAATTTTTTTAAATACTAAGGGCAAAAAAATTAAGGAAGATAAAATTTAATATCTAACTTAAAATAAGTATTTTATTACTTAATTTTGAAAATAATAAAAACTATATTAAAAGAAAAAAATGAGATAGTGAAATGTTTTAGAGCCTCCACCTTGCCATCTAAAAAGTCTCCAGAAAACACAATCTTAGTACAAATATTTCCTATTATTAATTGTTTGCTCAGCAGCTGCAAAAAACCTAGAAAGAACTTTCCTAGCTTTATCAGGAAAATATGCATACAACGTAAGACCATGACTCCATTATTAGTTGACATGCACTAACCTTCACCTAAAGATTGACTGTGAGCCGGGCTCGGTGGCTCAGCCTATAATCCCGCGCCTTTGGGAGACTGAGGTGAGTGGATTGCCTGAGCCCGTGGGTTCGAGACCCGCCTGGGCAGGGAGACCTCATCTCTACAATAAATCAAAAAATCAGCTGGGCGTGGTAGCGCACGCCTGTAATTCCAGCTACTCGGAAGGCTGAGGCGGAAGGATCGCCGGAGCCCAGCAGGTCGAGGCTGCGGTGGCCGGGAGCAGCCACTGCACTCCAGTCTGGGCGACAGAGTGAGACTCCAACTCAAAAAAAAAAAATAAAGAAAAAAAAAAAATAAAGATTGACTGTGGAAATATATGGGGGGGTGGTCAAAAAATGTATACACATTTAAGCAATGTTATCTGTGTATTACTTTCTGAATTTGAATTACGTTACGGTAGCCATGAGTAGTACGACACTCTCTCAACCGTGCTTCTGCTATTTTCTTTGACTGTCCAGCCTGTCACATAGGGACGCTAGCATTCATTTGATTAATGCCATCTTTTGAGCAAATGGCATACTCAAAATGTGTATTCATGTTTTTTTTTTTTGGCACTCTCTGCATTCTGCAGTCAAACACCTTTCCGTTTTACCATGTTCACTTCATGCTGTAAACTAGACCCTTTTAATAGAGCTGGTCAGCAGCTCCTTTATGAAGTATCATTGCTGAGGCCATCACCGTATAAATATCCTTTAGTGCCTATGATATCCAAGACTGTTTGGTACTGAAAATACAAACTTCCAGAAAATAGTGTTTCTGGATAAGACTCAAGGTTTGTTTCTTATATGATAAGTGAGTGGAAACTTCCCAAGGGGAAAGAGAAAAGGCATCTGATTTTCATTTAGCACCTGAGTCAGGCTTGGTGCTAAGTTATTCACATACATTATTGAAAAAAGCCTTTACCATAACTCTAGAAGATGGGCATCAAGAAACACATATTACAGGGGAGGGCATTGATCTAAGAGGGATTGTAAGTTATTAATCCAAGATCACATGGCAACCAGAAAGTAATAAAGCCAGGACCTGAATCCAAAACGAACAGACTGCAGAGACTGCGTTTTCCAATCCTGTGTAGTTTTGCCAAATAATATGAAATTCTCACTAACTCTCTCCATGAACATGTAGATCTCATTTTATGGTGCCTCTTCTTTAGGACACTTTCTACATTTTTAGTTACATTTTGTGGCTCTCCTCTGAATCCTATCCATGTTTTGTGTGTTGATCTGAAACTGGCTAATTCACAACTAGATGCAACTATGGCAAAGTTCCACTCGCAAATGAAAAGTAAATCCTACATTTGAAAACACAGAACTTTACAGAAGAAAAGATTTCAGCAATTATTTAATCTAACCCCCATCTTTTGTGAATAAGAAACCTATGCCAACAGATTTCATATAACTTAGTAGCAGGAAATTTTCTATTAAAGATTTGTTTGTCTTCTAATTCTGGGTATCTGGCATGAACTTGGTTCATTCACTTCAGTCATTCAATTCCTGTTTATTTCAGACTTTCCATGTAGAAATACATCATCTTGAGCACAAGAGATGTTGATGTGTGATAACTAGATACAATATTTGTAGACTCAGTGGGAGAAGCAGGGACATAAATTAAACAGGACGTGTTCTCCTGAACACTCTGATAAGTGGACAGAAAAAACCTCTAAAACATCTGTCCTCTACCTATCACTTTTCATTTCATTCCGCTCACACCTGCATTTTTGCTTCTCATTGAACATTCTAAGCTCAGGCCATCTTCAGGACCTTTGCACTGGCTGCCCCCTCTGTGCAGAATTATTTTTCCCTAGACACCCACGTGGTGAGTGCTCTTATTTCCTTCAGGTCTCTGCTCCAATGTCACTGTGTCAGAGAGGGCTTTCATTATCGCCTCAAGTAGAATAACCCCTTGCATGTCATTATATCTGTTTCTTACCTGTCTCTACCACCACAATGTCAGCTCCATGAGTGTAGAGCCCTGGGCTGTCCCTTTCACTGATAAAGAACAGGTACCTAGAACCTGACACATGGTAGAAGCTTCATAAATATTTGCCAGCAAGTCAATGAATGAAACAAGAGACCAGATTTGAAGACCAAATTTAAGTTGATGCTAAGAAAATTCTAATAATAGCTACTAGAACATTACCATTATTCACCCTTTCTCTCTCTTTCTCTGAAGCAGGGTCTCACCCTGTCACCCATGCTGGACTGCAGTGCTGTGATCATAGCTCACTGTAACCTCAAATTCCTGGGCTCAAGTGTTCTCCCACCTCAGCCTCTTGAATATCTGGATGACAGGTTTGGCATGAACCACAACGTTCACTATTTTACTATGGAGTCTCACTATGTTCCCCAAGCTGGTCTCAAACCCCTGGGTCCAAGCAATTCTTCCACCTCAGCCTCCCAAATAACTGTGACTACAGGTGAGAACCACTATATCTGGCTTTTTTTTTTTTTTTAAGAGATGGAGTCTCACTATGTTGCCCAGGCTGGACCTGTACTCCTGGACTTCAAATAACCCTCCTGGCATAGTCTCCCAAAGTGCTGGAATCATAGGTATAATCCACCACACCCAGCCTTTATTCACCCTTTCTATGCTAAAATTTAACATCTGTTTAAAGGTCTTCTGTAATATGTCATGCAAATTACTTAGGAAGTGCTGAATTGTTATAGGTTTTTTTTTTTCCTCACGTATACATCCTGCTTAAAATTCTTCTGATTATAATACTATAGACATTTACTCTCACACCAAGAAATAATTTGGGGCTCCAAGTTCTCATTTTTCAGGTTAAATAAGAACTTAGGCTGCATGTATGCCAGTGTGCTAAGAGGAGTAGACATTGTATTTATTAGTCTCCTGGGACTGATTCTCCTGATAGGATTTACTATTGCTATATCAAATTATTTATGAAAGCCATCTAAATCCACTGATGTTTTCCTACTTTCTTCCTCCACAAATCATCAAAATTCTTCACCATGTGCTGTCAGAGAGGACATTAGTTGATTACATAAGCATCTCAGGCTTCCAAGAACTACACCTCCATTTCTATAGGAAGTCCATAATATTTCCTAATCAAAGAAGGATTATGTTTTCTAATTTACTTCCATCAGGGCCTCAGACATTTGATTTGCATTCCACCTTCCCCTTTTTAGTCAGTGTTGTTCATATTTACTAAGAAGAAAAACAAAGAAAGAAAAGAAGGGAAGGAAAGAAAGAAGGAGGGAAGGAAAGAAGGAAAAAAGGGAGAGAGAAAGGAAAGAAAGAACATCACTGTATCTACAGGTCAGGTCCAGGACTTGCCTGGCCTGGACCCCTCCTATGATTGAGCAGAGCCATCCTTTTGCTGCTTGGCGGGGGGCCACCCAGCCCTGCTCACCTCCCCAGACCACAAGTGGCCAGCCTTCCCTAGGAATCACCCAGGACACTTGTCCAAGAGTAATGCCCACACCTCCCTCTGGAGATTCCAGTGCGACAGACTCCAGGTAAGCAACCTGTCTCCAACAGCACTTGATCAGTGATGACCACACCTGAGACTGTATCTACGTCACTGGGAGGGCTGGATGCCACAGTTGACCCCACCCCAGAGTTCTAATTCCTCAGGTCTGGGCTGGGGCCAAGAACCTGCCATTTTAACAACAGCTCTGGTCAGGAAAATCACACAGTGGGAACCGGTTTCCTAGCTCATTCTTATAACCATATGAGTGTGGAACAAACAACTGTAACACAGTTCTCTGAAGCTACCATTGGAATGATGTGTTATTTTTTTTCCCTCTAACCTTGTAATTACCCTGATTTAGACATCACCCAGTAATTTTCCATGAGCCTGAAATCAGTTTTAAACACATCTCTGTGACCTCAATATAGAAGGAAATAAAGAAGAAGAGTCCACCAGACTGTTCTTTATCGAGATTAAAAACGCTAGTTTAAACCATGTAGACACAGCCGATACCGCCAGGGTCGCCCATCACAAAGAGTTAACACCACAAGGAATCAGGACAGAGGGAGCTAGCAAGAAGAGATCACAGAAGGCTTTCGAGATCTGTATCCTGTGTCAGACTCAGGCCTCTGTGTCACCACGCAGCACCCACTGGAATGAGCAGAAGCTCGTTCTTTAAAAGCAGATCGAGGCACGCCTGTGATGGAGAGCTCCAAATTGGGCCATCGGGACTTGAGCAATGGTGCTCCTGGGCTCGAGCAGCCGGTTGTATCACTCCTTTCCGTGAGGAATTTAAGGGGTGTGACTGCATCCTTTCCAACCCTGCATTCCACATGTGACAAAACCGATCCAGCTGTTTGTCTGAAAGAAATTCCTCGCTGTCCTTAAAAATTAAAAAGCAAGTGGATATCCGTCCTCCGGGGGCAAGTCTCCAGCTGGAACCTGGTACAGGCGGTTGCGAAACAGAGACAGTGCCCTGGAGCGCATCTGCTATTGAATTCTTACCTCTCCACAGGGGGGTTAGCCCCATCTTGCTTTTTGAAATGGCAGATTCTGGATGGAAGGTGCTGGCTTGGCCCAAAGCTCTTGAGAAGTGTTCATCCACTACTGACCCAATGTCTCCCTGGAAATAAGTGAAAAGGACACAGCGAGAGTTAAGGTACTCCATCTCGGCAGGCTGGTCTTTCTCCTCCTCCTCCTCCTCATCCTCCTCCTCCTCCTCCTCCTCCTCTTGTTTGCTGGGAAGGGTGACTTCCAGAGAGTCCTGCATCTTGCTGTATACCGCTAACTTCTTCTGGGATGGAATAAACAAAACACAGTATCAAAGACAGTTTGTAAAAACACATTAACTCGTTAAGTTTTCACTTAAAAAAAAAAAGAATCTAAATATTAACATATGTTTGCAAACTGATTCCTCTTCATCTGCTCTGCTCCATCTTTGCCCGCCCCAAACCAGTTGCACCTCTCCCACACTCAAAAAAAAGTCATAAGTCTGTGATTCCGAATTTGGCGAACAAGCAAAAACGTCCATTATCCAATGGTATGCTTTCAAAACGGAGTTTTGTCCCATCATTCTTATTTTTGAATCCAGCTATGCCAACAGGAGAATGACTTTAAAAAAGAGTGACAGATTCCTTCTAGCTTTGCTTCCCCTTTTTAGTTTACTTTGAAAAACTTAATGTTCAGCAGTATTATAGTTTAGGATAGGGAGGAGGGAGGGATAGGAGATGGAACTGTCTTCAGGGGGAGGTGGAGAGAAAGAGTTTTTCATAAATGAAATAAACTAAAATAAAAAACAGGAATGTAGCATTCTACAAAAGGATTTGGCAGATGTGCTGAACTCATTTCTCAAAAATCAAACTAAAATGACAAAATAAGTCTGTGTGAAGATCCATTTTGCATGGAACATATTTTTCAAATGTTCCACTTACCACCATTATCACAGAGGGAGAAACGTATTCCTATGACTTACTGAAAATATTGCAAACTACTAGCAATGGCTAGTATTTTTCAAATAAGAATGTGAAAGGTTTGATCATCTAAATTATTTTTAAAATATATGATCAGAACTATGATAATAGTTAATATAAATACATAAGGGCAGACACTCTTATAAAGCTTTATATTGATTACCACATTTAATCTTTACACTTAAATCACATGGTTGTTATTATTATTGCCCATATGGTAAGTTGCAAAAACTAAGGCACAGAAAAGTTAAGTAACTTGTCAAAAGACACAAAGCATGTAAGTGGTGGAGTCAGAATAAGAACACGAAGGTGGAGATATGCCTGTGCATTTATGGTTGGGAAAAGGCAGGAAAGGATATCTCGGGTGGAAAAAAAAATTCACCAAATGTCGTATTTGGAATTGTTTTTCTGGGTAGCAAGTGTGTAGTTAATTGTCACTTTCTTATCTCTGCGTTTCAATATTCCCAAACATTTTTTACTCAACACATATTAGTTTTATTATCTACAACTTTGATGTGAATTATCCATAAAAAGATAATGCTAAAGATTACAGCATGTAATATTCTAGTGACCAAATAAGCTTTCTACATCATCTGCATATCTACAAAACCTGATCCTTTTTCCTACTTCAGGAAAAAAAAAGGCGTGCTGGAAAATGAATGTGACTAGAAAAAGATAAAATCATTCCAGAATACTCACTAGTTCTGCAAATGTTAGCAAAACACATAACCCAGACTCTATGCTTCTAGTGTAATCACTGGCTTCAAAATCTATAGCCCCAAATCATGAATGCGCCATCCAATAAAACCGAACCCTTTCCCCAGCAATGAATATGTTGCTCCTGAAATGTTCAGGAATATTATGAGCTTGCAAGTTATCATTTTGGGCGGCTACTTGTAAGTACGGCTTTTTACTTAAAATTTGTGTCAATATGGTGATCATTTGTTGATGAATAGATCATTCATTCCTTGTGAGTGAATATGCCTGCGGAAGAGTAGGTGATAGTCATGACTGAGTGGCTTTCCTTCTTATAATCTTTTACACAGATTTGAACTTCAATAGCAAAAACACTACAGTAACATAGGGGGTGTATAAAACAAGATGACTGAACTAAATGACTCCTAAAAACACTCCTAGCTTTAAATTTCATTATAAAATTAAATGATTATTATGGTTTGTTAGTCAGATCACAGTGCTATTTTCTCTGTGTGCATGTATATTTATGTATATTTATTCAAAACATACACTGTTTCTGCCATGCAGACACACTCTGGCACGTTAGAAAGAAGCATGTTTTTACACAGAAAGGAAGTTAAAACTGATCTACAGAGTGGCAACGTTGTCTACAAGTGTTCATAATTATCTTTGAGCTGATTTCTTTTTTCTGTTAATGTCAAGCTCAACATTAGTTTGTGAAAGTGGGGCTTTGCATATAGTTGCCCCATTTATTTCATCTTAACATTTATTCTTTAAATAAAAGAGCCCCAGCTGGGCTAATTTTTTAAATAAAGAAAATATTGTATTTTACCACCAACTAATAGTAATTAATTCCTAGATGAAATAAAATGAGTTAAAAATATATACGTAAAAAGTTTGAAAACAGTAAATACTGATAAGTATTTTAAATAGTATTATGATCAATAATAGAAATCATAAAATATCTTAATTTTTTAAGTTGATAGCAGTTGCATTTTAGCTACTCAATCTATTTAAAATTCTAGTTTTCTAAGTTCTACATAACACTGTATCTTTTAAAATAATTTTTTGAATGTTGATACAAATAAATTAATAGAAAAATTGCACATTTTAATATGCAATGGGGAAAAAGTAAGCAAAATCTGTCATGTGTCAAAATATGTCCATCTATTTTTAAAAAATAATTCTGTCAATGCTTGCATCAGTTCTCTGTATTTTTATATTTCATGCACATGTCATATGTCTCTATTTCTACATATTTCTATAAATATTATACTGAAATATTCCTTTTTGATATTGCAGACAACTATGGTTCTATCTATATTGACTCCTCTGTTTAAATAAAATGTATTTGGAATGATTACAACATGCACTTTTTTCTCTCTCCATCCCAAGTATTAAAGGTAATTCCTTTATGATTAATATAAAAATTGAATAAATTTGCTTGAAGACTCTCAAACAAGGAAGATGGAACGGGAGCCTCTGTTATACCCACAAGCAGGCAGGTCATGGGAATGTCTACCATTCCCACCCACACGTTCTTCAGATAGAGTTGAGGCAATTTTCACAAATTATAATGAACACACACATGCCACACATCACACACACACATCAAACAAAACACACACCACACACAAACTGCACACACCATACACCACACATGTCACGCACAACACACATATCACACACCACACATCTCTCACACCCACACATCACACACACACATCACACACACACAACTCACATCAAACACACATAGGACACACCGCACACATTACACATACCACACACACACTGCACACATTACACATACCACACACACATCACACACACAACACACATATCACAAACCATGTACCACATACACATCCCCCCACACACACACCCATGCGCTCACGCACGTGTATTTATAGCCTCACAGTCCACATCACTGATGGAAATAAAGATTTCAAAGTATCCAAATGGCCTGATGTCTGCCCAGAGTGCTCAGTCTGAATGTGCCTATTTTTTAAACATTAAGAGTGAGCATGAAGACAACAGGAGCCCAAGACTAGAGCAGTGACAGGCTCTTACACTGACCTTCACGGCGTTCTCACTTCCTCCTCCAATGGCTCCTGTACCTCAACTTCCTCCTGATGATGGTGCTTGGTGACTGTCAAGCAACCCTCTGCCTTTTTCCCTAAATATTTCACTGTGTGCTTCCCACATTCAGTTTTCACTGGGTGTTTGCTCCTTGGAATGAAACCTGCCTGGTGTGACATTCTTTCAAGTTTAAAACACTGAGATTAAACAGCAAATCACCAGAACCTAGATTTTCTGAATCAAGGTCACAATGTAATCTAGTTCGCATTTTCCTCAAAACGTACAATCACTTCCTAACAACATCCAAATCTCTCAGAAATATGCATTTTTTTTTTTTTTTGCAAGACCCTGAAGAAATGTTAGCAAGAGTAAAGAAGCCACCAAAAGGACTCCAGTGACTACACATTGATGTATTTGATGCACACAGATGTCTTATCACCACTATGTGGCCATAAAGATTTTTCCCCAGGTAAAATGACTGGAGTTCAGAGAAACAATGAATGGGTTAACATTCAGAAGTGGGAGCTAAGTCAGAGAGGTGAGCTGCCATGCTCAGGAGAGCCAACTTGGGCAGTGCACACCATACCCAACTGTTTCACATCCTGCCGGCAGGAACAACAACACACTTTAGCAAGAATGTGCAGAGGAAGGATTTGTCTGACAAGAGAAAGTCTTCCATGTCAGGAGCCAAATACCACTAACTCCCCAAGGCTTAAGCCTACAAAATGCCAAGTGATTACTGTGCATATGTGGATAGTTTTTTCCTAAGGAAACAAAACTATTTTAATGAATCGTTGGAATCGCTGGATATTTGGAAACAGCCTTTCTAATTTTTTTTTTAATTTCTACTGACTATCTTTTTAAAATACAATGATTCTTTTATTTCAACAACATGGTTGGAACCTAGAAGGAACTAGTAACCCAGGGTAAACGTTTCAAAATCATAGAGTCTATAAAAGCAGCACATTGCTCTTTGACCATGTTTTGCTTTTTTAAAAAAATTTACTTGGATAACAGATTTTAAAAAATATTTCAGAGAGACTTGAAGTTTTGGTTCCTAGCCTATTTGGAGATGAATGGATCAGTTTATAGGAGATAGGTAAGGACGATATGCCACAGACCTTTTGTATAATTTATTTCACATAATTGTCCTTTCCCACACAAATATTTTGTCTGGATAAGTATTCCCAGTGAATCAGTTAATATACAAAAACTGATTTATTTGACCAGGATCATTTAACTAGCGAGTAGCAGAGATGGAATTAGAACCTATTTCTGTCTACATAGCACGTACCATGAAAAATGACTCAAGAAAATGATTCTCTATATGATGTTCACTTTAACTGAATAAACAAGCAGAACTCCTCAGTCAGCATGGTTTCCATGCTAACTAGGATAGTCTAAAGTTATTCATAACACTAAAAAAATTAGATGTATCAGAAATATGGCTATCAGGTAATACAGTACTGTTAAAAAATATGTATTTCTAGATGAAACTGAACTTCTATACCTAAACATATATTGTTTTCTTGGCAAATCAAAT